CAACTAGAGTTCAATCTTCTTTAAATAGTATATTTGAAACCTGTTTGTAATCAAATTAATCAAAAAATGACTTAATATACTGATTCACACAGGACATAAAATCCTCCATCATAATGAAAATTCGAGGTCAGGTTTGATTAATGACCTTTAATTGTTTATTGTTAACATTGTGTTTTGCAGGTAGTTTTCCAATAATTACTGTAAAACTTTAAAGAAAGGCTAAGATGGTGTTTTGTTTATTTTTATTTGGCACCAAACCATACATTGTCACTACTTTTATTTAAAAAATTGTTTAACCTTTGATCCACATTATGTGTCATTGGTTCTTTGTAAAAAAATTAGATTAGGCCATGTGAAAAAAAAAGAGTTGTTGATCGTCCTTTTCTTTTAAAAATGTCGGGAGGGAGGGAGGTGTTTTTTTTTTTTTTAATCAGTAATGAAACCACTCCATTGATACATGCCAAGTCTGAATCTTCCATGGAGTGCAAGGCCTAATGTAAATGGTGGCTGACTTTGCCGGATCTTTCAGTGTAGCGTTCAATCAGGCAGAATTTACACAAACAAACAATTGCAAGTCAAAATATTTACTCAAAGAAAGCCAAAGCTAGCTGAAGTTTAATTATGGGCAGAAAGACAATATTTTTATGAGTTTTGGCAAAAAAAAAAAAAAATTGGTCGGGTCAGGTGATTTTCTGTAAATTTTGTGAATTTGTACTATAGAGCAATAAATAAGGCCATTGTAACGTCTGTCTGTATCATGAAGTGTATTTAAATGGCCTTAAATCACCTAAACTACTGTATGAAACCAACTTGTGTTTAAAACAACTTTTTTTTTTTTTACATGGCCTTATATTATTGTTACTGTATCTTGTACTAATGTTGTTGGCCAAGGTCAAAGGCGATGCCCTTGAATAGGACGCTAATATGTTTTTGTGCTTGATACTAGTCCAAAGTTCAGATACAAAATAAATAATTCATTTGATTTTTATTGGAATTGGAAATGTTGAACATACTTCAATAAGAAGCTGCTGTAGAGCCATTAAAATGCAGGAGCCTATCTGTGTGCTCAGCATCATGATTCCCTCAGGACAGGTAGTGATGTCATTTGTATGGTGGGGACGGTCATTGTTATTGATTCTGTAATATTAACCTTTGTTACCAAATGAATGTTGATTCGCAGCTAAGAAAACATTCCTTTGTCAAGTTTTAACAATCAGGTTGGCACACTGCAGCAAAATTAATATTTTTTTAATAACGCATGTTATTTAACAACCATTTTTAACTGCCATTCCTATTGATTATTATGTCCACTTAGTGCTTACTAATCATTTTATTTTATGTAAATTTCTTTTAATTAGACGAATATAATATACTGTATAACAAAATCAGATGAAATTCTTAAATTTTATTTGTTTTTTTTTTTGCTTAGTTTTTTTTTGTTTTTTTTTTTGGTAAATCAGATTTTAAAAGAAATTAGTTAACTATATAACTTTTGTTAAAACCCTAATGAAGAAAGTGTTATAGTATAGTCACTAAGTATGTTTTGAATATCTGACCACCATTAATTACTTTTGGTAATTGAACTCAAAATTAATGCTGTAAAGCAGGCAGACACTCCGTTTGACCGAATAATCCATCTCCACTTTATCGGTGCTTGACAATGGGATACCTTCTGTTGGTTTTTGGTGGCAATCTGAGTAGATCGTCATTGAAAATGATCCGCCATACTGTAAAACCTTGAATTGAAGCCCTGAGCAGCTTTTATTTTGCAAACTTTGAATGGGCTTCTTTTCGAGATGGGCTTCAGTTTTCAAGGCTACTATTGCAAGTAAAAAGGGGGGCTTCTTTTCAAAATGAATGCTGTAAATTTTGTAAATTGTACTACAGAGCAATAAATAAGGCCATTGTAACATCTATCTGTATCATGAAGTGTATTTAAATGGCAATAAATCACCTAAACTACTGTATAAACCAACTTGTGTTTAATTCATTTTGTTTTCTAAAATTCATGTATCAGTGTTTCTGTGTACTGTCTCGAAAAGAAGCCTATGCCTACTTGAAAAGAAGCCCCATGGGCTTCTTTTCGAGGCTAATTTTGCAAACTAAAAAAGGGGTCTCGAGATGGGCTTTATCTCGAGATTAAGCCCAGTGGGCTTCAATTTGAGGTTTTACGGTGGGGCGCCTCGTTGTGGCGGTTTCCATGGAAATGCAATGTGGCGGTTCAGCATGTGCTCACCATGGCTGATTGACGGGTTGTTGTCGGCATTCTTTCAACTAGTGAGATTTTATCTATATATCACTAGCACATGCAACTATCACTGATCAGTAGCATTGTCATCACATTCATTATACTTTCATTTTTTCTTTCACTGCAGTGCGAGATGGTGACACTGTGAAGCACTATAGGATTCGTCAACTAGATGAGGGCGGGTATTTTATAGCTCGACGATGCACATTCCGTTCATTAGCAGAATTAACACAACACTACATGCGAGATCCAGACGGTCTATGTGTAAACCTTAGAAGACCCTGTGTGTTGGTAAGTTCATTGTTGATGCTAGCTTTTCATTTTCGTGCACCCTATCATAAATTCAAAAAGATGACAAGAATGTAGGCAAACCTTCAGTACGGTAGGCTTAAATTGAACACTTATAAAAGTTGCAACAACATACAACATAATTGAAATAATTAATAAGTTGAGATTTATACTGGACTAGGGTGACAGGCATAAGATTATCTCCAGGCAAAACCCATGCATGAACACAGCCCTTGAGAAAAATCGACTGTAGGCTGAACAGCCCCATTAAAGTAAGATTATGAGCAGTGTGGTGCATAAAATAGATGGTGGGTGACATTCAACTAGTCTCGCACACAGATGTCAGAGAACAGTTGCTGTCTCAGTGTGGTAATTTTTATGCAGATAATCCACAAAAGGCAGTTTGCTGGGCTCAAGCACTTTCCTCCACAGTATACTGTAAGTCTGTGGCTCCACTACAGGGAACTGCTGAGACAATGACCTCTGTGCTGTTTTGTAATTGATGTTTATTTGTTCAGGGGGTTTTTTGATACCCACATCTTGGGAAATCTAATTTTTGTGAACTTTGATCTTGTCCTTTGACCTTATCTTAAAAGTTACTGTATCTCTTTCTTAGATTATTATGTTAACATTCCACTAAATGTTATGATGATCCATTCCTTAGTTTTTGTGTCTACTGCCCCCAACGGGGACGTAGACACTATGTCATGATGTAGCAATTAAAGATGGCGGAAAAGGCTAAATCTGGTTTAGGCATGATGGATACTACTACCATGAGGTAGGGGGTGCTCTATTGACAATCGAATAGCGTTCAGAACTCGAACAAACTTGGGTTTGAAACTTGAACACGTGTTATAGAGACGCAGCACGCGTTCGCCACGAACACCTGTCATTTGAAGGACGCCCTCTAGAACATGGGAGTACTCTTCGTGATCAACGACATAACGTGGTAACTCCCAAAGTTACTCATGTTTAAAGTGTTTTTAGTGTAATATAGTAGTAGGCCTATATAGAATATTGTTATGAAAGAAAATTTTCATGAAAAATCCAGATACACTACAATAATACACACATCTGCATATTGAAGAACATAAGATACAATTAAAAAAACAAAAATTCCTGTATAAGGCAGTAGACGCACGGATACATGCTCCCGCTGGGAGACTATTTTTGAAACCTTGCTACAGTAACAGAAAGACAGGGGTAATACTGTACGTACATAACTTCCTTGACGTGCTGTAGGTATTATGGTATTGAGATACAGGTTGTTGTTGTCAGTAATGATAAAACTTTGCGTTGTTCAGCATCACCAAAGGTGAAGGGTCTAAATCCTCATGAAGTGCTAAGTACCTTTGTTTAGCTTCCACTTGACATTCTCCTTCCTCCTTATGTGTATGGCTAGACTCTTATTAAACCTGTGGCTAACTATTAAAATGAATCATTCAGAAATCTGTTTCCTCTTTGGTTCATTCATTGTCAGTTCATTGAACTTGATACGGTATTTACTTTAATCATCCGATGTTTACCGATTATAAATTAAATTTAAAAAAATATGTTTCTCATCCAGTTAAAAAAAAAATAAAGATGATTATGTAGTCCCTTCATGTTTAGATTTCTCTGCATCATCTTGTGCTATACACATTGAAGTTTTTTGTTGTTGTTATTCTTTGTATTACGGTATGTCAAAATAATCTCTCGTACTGTATGTCTTTTTTTTTTTTTTATAAATTTTTACTGTAGGAGCCTGATTTCAGTAAAAGGTTTAAATTGATGTTTGGTTTGAATAAAAATCTTGCTTCAGTTTTGCCAACAGGTAGGCCTATGTTTCCCTTCATAATATAGTACTTGCAGTTAGAGGCACAAACCAAGCAACACAAAAATGCTCTATTTATAAATTAAGTGGTGGCCCTTGCTCTCTTTGCTTACATTGGTGGATTGGCCTATCTTTAATCAATCACAAACTTTTGTGCATCTGGGTAATGGTGGAGATTGTATTGTAGAAGAAAAAAAATTGTTAATTGAGATAATGGTAAACGAAAATATTTGAAGTGCATCCATATGGCAGGGGTCCCAAGAAATTGGAACGGCCTCCCGCACTCTCTCAAGCAAGCAAAAATCTCTCGGAAGTTAACCAATCTCCGCAAATTTTTACTGCTTTATTATCAAGTTTCTCATGGAAGTCAGTGCATAAGGCTATCACTATGTGCAGCAAAATAAAATTAAGTGTGTTAAGAAAGCCCATTAACCAAATCAGTGGCAGATTCAAGGGGGAGGCAGCCGGCCTGGGTCCCTACAGTATGTTTCAACAATATTTTTAAGAAAAAGTGGGGTAGAAAAGAAAATTGAAGTCCGAGAGGGGCCATAATCATAACTTTTCTTACCTCGGCTCAAACTATGGTGGGGCTGAAATGGTCACCCCCCGCCCCAATACCACCCTTTGACCCGCGCCACCACCCGGAAATGACTTCCAGTTTGGGACCCCTGCCATATGGTATTGGATAGTTTCTTACAACAGTAGTGTTAAAACGCAAGCATACATTATACACAATGAGGAGTTTTGAAGAATTTGAATATTTTAGATGTGTTTACTATTTAAGAAAGAGTTTTGTGTGGATTCATTTATCCGTGGAATTACATACACCCTGTTCTTCTAAGCATATTTGCTGGTACTGATAAACACGGAAGTAAAGTACAATGCAGTGAAAGCAACAAGTGTCTCTACAGACACAAGTTATGAATCGTCATTACAAGGGTTGTTTCGTACATCACACATATTTTCAGAGTTATAATTTAAAGTTTACTGCTAGACCCATGTCTAGTTGCCCTAAATTAATTACTAGCCCAAGATTATATTTTGACTAGATCCACTGGCTTGCTACTGTTGCATTTTTATATAGTCATGAGTTATATACACATCATATACAGAAGTATAAATTAGTATAAAATACTACAAAATAGGTTCCAATCTAATGTTCTAGGCCAAGCCTTGGCTTAGCATTGTCCAGTAGCTTAGTATGGATGTGGGGAAAAATAGAAGTGCCGTCCTCATACAGGCGTAAAATTGTTTAAAAATGATCTAATAATGCTAAATAGTAAATTCTAAACTATGTGCACACAATGATGAGTACAAATGTAAAAAAGAAGATAGAATAATTCCTGTTTACTTTTGAAAAGGAAATACCCTCTCTGGTGTTCTATGTGTCAGATTAAATACATTATACTGGTATATTAATATATTATTACTACAAGTGGAGCCTGATATAAATAACTATCAAGATACAGAGTCAAGGTCAGTGTGCTATAGGGTCTGATAGTCATTTAAATTTCTACAGTTAAATAGGTTTACATACAATTAAGTATTATACAAATGAGAGGAGCCAATATATTTAAATGTGCTACAGTATAGTGTTTTTACCTGATGAACTGTATAGGCCTATAAAATTTTATATTATTTAGTTTTTATACTGAAATACAAATTTCAGTACGAAAGTACAGATTTCCAGTGGCTCAGTAAAGTATATAAAATCAAATCATATACAATTAACTAAAGTAATGTTAAAGAACGAGTTAAAATATTTAATTAAAAGAGAAAGAAAATATTATACCATGCTGTCATTTTTTCTTGATATTTAATGTTTAATTTATATACCGTGAAACCTTGAACTTAAGCCCAGTGGGCTTAATCACGAGGTGAAGCCCATCTTTAATTAAAGCTCCCTCTTTAGTTTGCAAAATTAGCCTCGAAGAAGAAGCCCAATGATTCTTTTCAAGATGTCATAGATATCAGGATATCGAGATAGTACGGTACATACACTACTGTATTCCTGAATTTCAAAAAACAAAATAATTTAATACAAGCTTGGTTTATACAGTACAGTAGTTCAGGTGATTTAATGTCAGTTAAATATACTCCATGATACAGATTAATGTTATAGTGACCTTATTTATTGTTTTATACTAGTACAAATTCACACAATTTACAGCATTCATTGTGAAAAGAAGCCCCCATCCCCCCACTTTACTTTGCAAAAGTAGCCTCGGAAAGAAGACCATCCAAAGTTCGCAAAAAAAAGGAAGCCCGTAGCCTCAGTTCGAGGTTTTACGGTAGCTTTTTATCTGAATGGAAGCTTAAATGTGCAACAATTCTGGATTATTTAAAATTCCTTAGCTTTTTGATGATTTCATTTGAAAAGTTAAGGTAAAGCATTATTCTATAAAATATGACGATCATTCTTGTATTGAAACAGGATTGAGAATTTGGGTTGTGAAAAGATCTTTTTTACATCACACAATATAAATAATTATTGTCATGTCTGAATTTATCTAGACCATGGTACCAATTTTGGCATAGAGTAAACATTGAACTTGAGTCTACAAGGGACAAAATAAATAATTTTCTTACTGTAGCCAGGCAAAAACTCAAGGAGTGTTTTAGCTTGTGTTACAGTAACCCTTTGAACCACTATCTTAGAAAGATGCTGCTGGTATTTTACTGCAAAATCACCTACCATCATCTCAAGTTGAAAAAGTACATCGAGCAATACTACTATCAGTAAATCATGCTTTTTTTGACGAGGTGAAGTCGCTAAGGTTCTTACTTCAGTTACAAACGTTGCCGTCATTACAGTAGGCCTACAGTTAGATGTTGAGGGCAGCAGGACACAGTAGCAGTTTATTAATATAACTGAGCATACAGGACGTCTGCAGCGTCCCATAAGGGTTAGACATAAGGGGCATCGTTAGGATGCCCTGTGCAACAGGAAAGGGTTAAATTGATAAGCCTACAGTTCCTACCATGGGCTGCACCAGTTGGGACCAGTAGCTTAGCCCTACTGTATATAACACAGAGCCTTAATTACATTGTAATTGGGACATTTTATTACTTTAAGCTACTTAATTATCATCTATTCTTTCGAAAATTTTGAAATTAATGTGGAGTACCAAATAAAACAGGAGGTTTAACCTATGATCAGCATGAATTATTACAAGTAATATTTTTAATAAATATTTATTAACAAATGAATGGAAAAACAGTCAACAAAATTTATGGTACTTTTTGTTATTCTTTAATCTTATTCTTTGTTTGCCAAAAAAAAGCTCCAGTTCCATACAGTTGGTGGTATACTGGGTAAGTTTGCAGGGAGACAAAAGCGAACTTAATCTCACTATATAACAAAAAGTCGGTGAAAGCCGCACTGATCCAGTGAACATGAACAATACAAATGCAAAATTTCCCAATACTAATAATGATAATGATTGTAATTTTAATATTCTGTTCTATGTTTTTACATACTTTTATTTTTACATACTTTTATTTTTGTTCCATACTCTAATTGAGATTTGAGCTGTTGTTGTTCAAGAGAAATTAATTTATTTAATTTAATTTTACCTCATTAAACTGAAATTGCAAAACTGTTTACTTTTTTATCATCTACAGTTAGAGAAGCCACAGACTGTTGGCCTATCATACAATACCGTTGACCAGTGGGAAATTGCCAGGACATCACTGCATCTGACCAACAAACTGGGATCTGGTCAGTTTGGAGAAGTATGGGAAGGTCTATGGAACAATGTTACACCAGTTGCAATTAAAACATTAAAACAAGGTATGGGCATGGTATTTCACTCTAATAATTGAGTTTACAGTACATGAACATAGAACCTTTTTTAGTCGAGAGACTTCAGAAACTGATCCAATGTGTTAAGGCCAACACAGACAGCGTTTTTTTTTAGCATTTTTCTTTACAAAGTAAAAAAAATGTGAGTGAATTTATCTTTATTTCTTGCCTGATGCCCCTACAAATTAGTCTAAAAGTTGTTGTCTGATGTAAGATATTGCCATTCTATGCCTCTGTTGGTTATTTTTATTCCATCTGATGAGTAAAGAAACTAAATAAATTTAAGAAAAAGTTTTATCCATTGGAAAGAGATTGTTTGTAATGACCGCAAATCAAATTGGTAAAATCAAGAGTTTGTAATTGGGAGATGTTACATAAACAACTATTAACTCTACTGTGAGATCAAAATGGAAATTATTTCATGTTTACTAGTAGTAGGGAAATATGTGAAATTCTGTAAGAGAGAAAGAAAAGCTAACATTGTTAATAAACAATGTATCAAGTACAGTTATTAAATTTATAAGTGGCTTGTGTGATTCAAGCTACAGTGTGCTGACTACTTTTACCGGCACCTTTCAAATCAAATCAAAATTAAAAATAGATAAAATATTGATATTGAACAATAAGTGCAAGTGTTTCAAAAAAGAAACATTAACTTTTGATTTTGATTCAGAGGTCATAGAAACTAAAATGGAAATAATATTAGTTAAAAAAGCCACTTCACTGTCTACATATTTTTTACCATAAACAGCACTATGACTAATTGTAACACCAATAATTGTGGGTTATGGTAGGTTTTAGGTCTGTATACAGTAATATTATAGTATTATGATTGTATATATACACACTGATATAGACACCCACACATATTTATTACCTACTTAAACATTGATTCATAGGATAACTAAAAATCAAATATTGAATGAAATATCTTGAACAACATTTGGTAGTTTTTAGTACAGTAGGCTCAAATAGTTCTGTTATTTTATTTAAGGCAAAACTTTTTTATACCTTGTTTGGTGAGCTTGCCGCCTGCCAATAATGATAATTTTGCAAAACCATTTGCTAAATAAGAAAACAAAATTTTATTTTTGTTTTTTTCTCCGCCCTCCTCTGACGACCTTTGAAAAAATAAGTTCGCAAGACAAGGTATAAAAAAAGTCTAGGCTAATTTGCTTCACTGCATTGTCAAGAACATGTGAAAAAGGATAATTTTCCATAAAGTGTGAGTACTGTAGTAGCAGATACAGGTCCATAAAGTACTTTTTTAAACAGATTTTTCCTTGTTTTAATGATACAGTAATTGAAATTTAAAATTCCTGTTGTACAAACCTGCAAAAATACATGCTTTGCTCCCTAGATGAATCACAGTGCATTGCACGTAGACCCTGCGGCTTATCTAGTTTTTAAATAGGGGGGACTCATAGGGGTGTGAAGGTGAAGTGTGCTTGATGATTAAGTAAGGGGGAGTTAGCTCTCAAAATAAAGTGATATCTCAGAATCTCAGAATTGGTAAAACTGGACATCGCTGGCAACTTCAGCACTTTCATCCAATGTGAAACTTTTGCCTCATGAGGATAATTTTTACCTACTTTCTTGTTTCGAACAATTTCAATTGGGGTGTGAGGCAACTTGGGGGGACAGGGTACACCACCTAGATACGCCACTGCATAGACCAGTAGACCAATTAGTAGTAGTAGTAGTCGTCTCAAGAAAAACTAGCTTTTGGAACCCCTCAAAACTTGCTGTATAGTATGTGTACATTTTGACAAGAAAAAACTTAACTTCTAGGTTCTTTGTTAAATGCTCCTATTTCCTCTCAGTTTTTTTGATTTGTGTTTTCCAATTAATGAAATAAATCGTAAAATTGTTGGCATGATGCACTAATTGGTGTATTGTATTAAACTTTGAGTTACTGTAGGACCAGGGCTTAAGTCTCCACACAATTCAATCACTCCATAAACGTGCTACTCTATTCAGCCCTGTACCAATGTCATCATGTAATACTTAATAACCCTGTTTCAAGATATTAGCCAGCACCTTTATGTTGTAGCCTTTAGTTGAAACTATAAACTGTACTGAATGAGGGAGCTCTCAGCTTGATGGTCCCAGAGGCGTAGATGGAGAGAGTTTGGCCAACTTGGCGCATGGTGCCATGTTGTTACCAAACAGCGTGCGTGCGATAACTTTATAACACTGATGCTGCATAAACTTTCTTTTATTATTCTGTTCATGAGGACAATTCAATTATGGGATTTTAATATATCCTATCGTGTTAGTTTGTGGCTTGCCAATGTTTTGTTTTGGTGACAACATGGCCGGTGTAAGTCATGTGCTTGCGATCCACCCAATCACACGCGCGTATAGCAGAATCCCGTGAAACCGAATTGGCCAAACTCTCTCTACGGCTCTGGATGGTCCAGGTATGAGCCAAGGTGAAGTAGATACAGTAATAATATTATGCACTGCACAAATGCAGAGCCATTCATGACCATTTCTGTTCATGGAGCAAGGTTGTGTTGTATTTTAACCATTCTTTTGTTAATGTTATTGTGAACCTTGTTTCACCGTTGTGCTAATTATTGATTAGTATAATAGTACAACAAAACAGAAAGTGATGTAAACATGGTTAACAGTTTCTGTTGCACGTCCCTGTGAATGATAATTTTTTTGGATGAAATTTGAATATCATGTTATTGAAGTATGAGTATGGTACTCAGGTACATAGTACTAAAATACTGAGTGCTAGAAAACCTTACACAGAACACATAAGCAAGCACACACAGTAGTACAATATACAAAGTAGTACAAGTATAAAGAAAAGTACATTAAATACAAAGTTATATTAACTGTTTATTCACAGTTTTCTCAGTTTATGTTTATATTGCAACCAATATAAATGATGCTCTTGAGTATCGCATGGTATTAAACCTGGCAAAAGGACAAACACTATATTATTATATACATTATCCCTTCCCTTATAAAGCAAGTTCTCAACATGTTGGCCAAAATTAACTCATCTTTATTGTATTTATACCTGTGTTGTAAAATAATTTATTGTAGTTTGTATTGGATTTTATTGATAATGTTTATTAGTGGATAATGGCCTTTAAATGGCATATTGAAACAATACATTGAATTGAACTGGCAGTTATACTTATAAAACATCAAATTCCAAGTACCGGAAAAGGAGTTCACATACAGTCCTATACAGTATAATTACTTTTAACTCAGTGTTGCAAGATTTAAACTATTTGATGATCAATGAAGTAACATAATATAACAATGTGAAAACTAACTGTAGATATTTTTGCTTTACAGGAACAATGAATAAAGAGGATTTTTTGAAAGAAGCAATGATAATGAAGAAGTTACGGCATCCAAAACTTATTCAATTGTATGCAGTGTGTACCTTAGAAGAACCAATATACATTGTAACAGAACTTATGATCAACGGGGCCCTTCTTGACTTTTTACAAAACAGTAAGTAACCACATCCTTTCTCTAGGGGTTGACAGATATAATACTTCATAAACTAAGTACCTTTGTGAGGCCTAATAACATTTCAACTAACAAGTTGAAAATAAACTTGCATTAATTCTGGAGTGGTACTGGATACATTTCCCGTTTACACCGAATGAAAAAGCTATATTAAACTGAAGTTGACACTGGCAGTGAATGCAGGTTCTTGAACCTGAACTATTTCTAGTATAAATATTAAAGTTTGTTCTAATATATATCCTGACATCGCTTGAGTTGGGATGGAGTGGCAAACATTGTCAATAACCAAGCGCTATGATTTCTTTCAAATCTGCAAATTAAATCGGCACTTGTAAAATTTATAAGGAACTGCAATTGTTTCATTCCTTGATGCACGAAAACATGGATTTGTAGCTTGTAATATGAATATTGTAAGGACATATTTGAACAAAATTATTTGGAATGATGAATACATACACTAAAGACCAAATCAAGACCTAAGTAAGGACATTATAATGAAAATTTATTGAGGATTATTGATGCGTTATCAATTGAGTGGATTTTAGTTTGGTCTCCAAAACCCCAATTTATAGGAATCTATCTTATAAAATGCTTGGATACTTTTGGTCATAAATTAAAAATATATATATATCATTTGCTAGACCCCATAATGAGGCTTATAGAGATTTACAGAGTATGCTTTTTGTGAGAGAGTTGGGCCTGATGTCTCCGGTGAAAAAAGTGGGCATCGTTGGGTGTCGCTCAAAATCTTTTAAAATTGTTCCAGGGAGACAATTTATGGATTTAAAGCCATATTTAATCGGTTTTGGAGTCTACTAATAAGTTAAAAATACATATACATTTTTTTTCTCCTCAACGAATTGTGGTTTTCTCCCTGACAGGGGGCCCCGGCCCCCGCTAGCGCCACCTCTGGGAAGAAATATGGATGAGAAAGGACTTGAGAGTTAAACCTCAATGACCCTGCATGACTAAGTAATATCGAGTTAATAAAGAAGTGTTAAAAAATTATGTATCTCAAAATAAACAGCATAATTTGGAGGCATTATATGCTGTACTTCAACGTCGTTAAAAAGAGGTAACCAAAACCGTGACCTGGAAAATATACATTAAAAGCTAACCCATTTTTACCTTTACTATACTGTTATTACATTTAACATTAATGAGAAAGCTTTGACTGGTCTGTGTAAAATTTTACCCAGGCACACAGATATTACCATACAATATGGTCATTTTTTTTCATTATTTTGATAAGAGTACAAAACCTAGGCCTACACTAGGGGAGGGTGTCAACATTGTATGGTATTCTTTTATTGATGATCTCAAAATGACTCTTTTGGAGGTGTGCGTGCAGTGGCGGATCGTGGTATTCAAAATAGAGGGGAAGGGTCTAGACCGCCTCACCATGGTTGGTGGTGAGGAACTGTACAACATTTTATGTCTGTGGCTCTTCTAGATGCCTGGAATTTGCACTTGAACTAAAAAATTGATTGCAAAATTTCTTATTTTCCATTCTGTTCTAGTTTTGAAAAATTTGGGGGAAGGGGAGGGGAGGAGGAAGGGGATGAGCTGGTAGGATCCCCTTGAATCTGCCTATGGAGTAGGTCAATGAAAAGCTGGTCTGCACAAAAAGTGGATGACCCACTAAACAACTGGTAATATACAGTACCACCGAGCAACCAGATATGCTTTAATAGCATAAGCTTCATAATTTAGACTACTGTACACCAGGATGAGGCCTGTACCTTAAACAAGAAGAATTTATTCTAAATATACTCAAATATTCAAAAAAAATTAAAAAGAAAAAAAAATCCCAGCATAATAATTTCAATACAGTCAATTAATTGACTTCAATAGTGGTTAATCTGTTGCACATGTTTCACTTGATGCTAAGCACCATTGGTCCTGGCCAACTTCATCTGTATAGCCTATACAAATCCAAGTTATTTAATATACCTTAAATATTCTGGTAATCTAGTTAAAATACTCTTGATGCATGTGATAGTATGACGTTTCATTAAACACAACCTTAACTTAGAAAGGCGATATTTAGAGTAGATTCCAACACATACACATCCCGCTGTGTTCAGTTTGTTTTGTCTTTGTTCTCAATCATTAAAGTAAAAAGGAATCGTAAAGCGACTCAAGTGCTTATTCGGAACATTATTTCGCTGAAGGTCATTTCATACTCTTCCATAACTATTTCAACGATATATTGTGACGAGGAAGTTTTTAAAATACTATTTGGCATTAATTGTACCTACTGTATCTAATCTATGATAAAAGTTGAACTTAATATAATGAATTGCATGTACAGTACTTTATAGTGTACTACTATTTCGGCTATATTTATAAGTGATTATGCTCAGGGCGAGTACCATATAATTACATGGCAATATTCACTTAACAAGTAAAAACAATACAGTTGCATCTTGAAAAAAGAGAAGTGATTGTAAAGCTATTTTAGTGCAAAAATTAACATTTGATGCACAATAAAAAAAAAAAAAAATTGGCATTATTTGATGTTGAAGCTGAAAAATTGACGATTTACAGAAGGGTTGCATTTTTCGTTATTCCGTCATTAAAATCAGTTAAAATTCGCGATTGGTAAAGTTGAATTGAATCCTGTTCCACTGACTTTAATGATTATTTTTAAAATGATACCATGAGTATGTGGGCCTACAGAGTATGTGGACTAAACTCGCATCTTTTGTTATTTCTGGTTTTCACTGTTCTGCCAGAGATTTAAACTTGAATAAAAACTGTTTAAGAACTCCATCAATTTGATTGACAGGTAAAGGGAGGTCAATGAAGCTTGCAGAATTGATTGATATGTCATCCCAGGTTGCATCAGGTATGGCCTATTTAGAATCACAGAATTACATCCACCGGGATCTTGCAGCAAGGAACGTCCTCGTTGGTGACAACAACATCTGCAAAGTAGCAGATTTTGGTCTAGCAAGGATAATAAAGGTAAACTTTGATTTGCAATTAATAATACCCTGTAGTAATACCCCTCCTACACTGTCAAATGGCAGAATAAATCTGTGTTAATTTCGGAGTGATCATGGGTGCATTTCCCACTTACAGTACATCAAACGAAAAAGTCCGGGTTGATCCTGAGTTGCTCCCATTTCACACCAGCAACGAACTCTAGTTCAAATACCGACCTCAATTTTTGTTGCGATGGTGATCATCAATTCCCTTGAGCTCCTCGTCTTGACAAAGCCACAATTGTCAATATGGAAGCATGCAGATTGTTTTTGAATTATGCAAATTAAATCAACAGTTTTGATATCAAGCCTATACTGAAGCGCAGGTGGTTTAATTTGAAAAGTGTCTAGGGCTAGCCCGTTACTAGCAAAGTTTAGGCCTCCCTGACCACAACGATAGGTGCCAGGTAAGGCCTAAATCAAATTTGGTGTTGTTTACACTGGTGTTGTTTACACTGGCGACTCCGGAATTCACCCGGGTTGTAGATTATTCTGTTGATCAGGCTTTTCTCAATGCATTATATGATATTGGTATAGTTCCCATGCCCTGTGAAGAAACCAACCTTCCTCTTAATAACCCCAAAGCTAACATCTTCTTTGCATGGTAAAAATCCCCAAAAATCACACCATATCCAAGGTAGAAACCAGGAAGTGATGGTAATTGAAAGCATCCTGAAACTAAAAGTAATGTACAGTATGATTTAATAACAGTACCTAGTTTTGTCTTTGTATCAATCCAAAAATCTTGGCTGGTGTCCAGGCACTCTGGTGATATCAAAACATGCCATCCAATTATCTTGTTGGACTCGCATTAAAATGGTTTGTGGCCTATCACAAAATGAGTCTTGTAGGAACCCAGATAACCGAAAATGTGATAACGCCACCATATAATCATATAATATAACATTTTTTGCACACAAAATGTTGTTGATACCACAACTAGATAAAGTAAATTAATATTTAAAAGAAAAATAATGCTTAAAAAGGAATGACACTTCCTCTCCATAATTAGGTCATTTTTAAGTTCAATGAATGAGGCGCAAACAGGGTACAACGGCTAATAAACTATTATAAACTTAAAAAGGTCAAAGTAAATGTATCACAGTAAGATTAGTACTAGAGGGATTTAATTATTGTTCATATTGAATAACACTCAGGATTTTTTTTTTGTTGAGTGAAAAAAATGATCTTGTATGTCAATTCCCAACAGGATGATATATATGAATCACACGTTGGTGCTAGATTCCCTATCAAATGGACAGCACCAGAAGCGGCCAACTACAACACTTTCACGGTCAAGTCTGATGTGTGGTCGTTTGGTGTCTTGCTGTCGGAGATTGTCACATACGGCAGGTTGCCATATCCAGGTAGGTTGCAGTAACATACAGTTTAATTCAGGAGGGTGGTGGTAGAAAGAAACGATTTGATTGGATTGGATTTATTCGGTATGTACACCAAGTATAACCTACGATTCAATAGTGTTCTTCTGGTAGTAAGTTGGGCAGTACTGAACACTGGGAGACAATCTCCTACTCTTTTCTGTGTACTGCATTTTTTAACATGCACATTGGCCATATTGCACATGGGCCATATTGTACATGGGCCATATTACACATGGGCCATATTGCACCTGGGCCATATTGCACATGGGCCATATTGCACCTGGGCCATATTGCACATGGGCCATATTACACATGGGCCATATTGCACCTGGGCCATATTGCACATGGGCCATATTACACATGGGCCATATTGCACCTGGGCCATATTGCACCTGGGCCATTTTGCAGATGAGACCATCAGCTGAAACATAAGGATACAATCAAACTTAACAATAGACCAATCAGAACTACAAACATATGTGTTGACCTTTACAACAATATCTGGGGGTGGGGGGGAAAATTTAGTGGAAAGGTCATTTGTATTTTCTTGAACAAATTCGGAACAAATTGTTTAGGAATGGGTCTAGTGTAGTGTATGTGGAGTGCTTAATCAAAAGCAGGCTCTACATGTGCACATGTCCATCATTTTGAGAGCGTTACAGGCCTCTATTTTACACTTACAATTTTGGAAATTGGGAATAAGATTTTAATGGTGATTACGCATCGATTCTTGCAGGCATGACAAACAAGGAGGTACTAGAGGCTGTAGATCGTGGTTACCGTATGCCTTGTCCGCCAAGCTGTCCCGAGGATCTCTACTCAATAATGTTGGAATGCTGGAAGCAGAATCCGATCGAGAGGCCGACGTTTGAGACCTTGCAGTGGCGTCTGGAAGAGTTCTTCACAATCGATCCTACAGTTTATCATGATCAGGGCGTTATACGATGAAACACTGTTAGCCATTAGGCAACACGCTGTGTCCGAGCAATGCTGATACTACGACAACGGCATGATGTACTGACCGAATAAAAATTGTAAAGTATTAATTTGGTAAAAAAGAAGAAAGTCAACATGGTATATAAGACTGATTGTTGTGAACTTTTTATACCAATTTAAAAATCAACTTATATCTTGTTGAATATCTTGTTCATGCTGTCTGTGTTGTTCTTGAACAATGAGAACAATTTATTAACTGAGCGTTCTGAAATTATTTAGCATTTGTTTGTAGGAGGAAAAAGTATTTTAAGTACACAGACAATATATACACAACTGGTAATTAAGCCTGTTAACAAAAAGATGATGGTTTGTTGACAGAATAAAATGTATATTTGGTCATTTATTAATTGTATTAGCTCATAAATTCTTCTCATGTGAAATGAATTTGATCATAATAATCAAATGGACTCTTTTCTTAAAGAAGTTTCACTGATTATTTTATTAATAAAGTAACCGCATTACTTTTTAAGTTTGTGTACTAATACAGAATATTCAGTGAATAAATAGTCATTGAAAATAAGGCTGTGAATTTTTAAGAAACTTTTTCTGAAATTTTAAATATTTTAAGTAGACACCTGAAAGAAATTGTAAAATATTTAAAATTGATGTTAAATTCCATGTTAAGAATTATAATATATGTCACTCTCATGCTGGTGATAGTTTTTTAATGTTTTTTTTTGTATAAGAATGTACGATGTGTAAGATTTATTCTTACCATAGTTGCAACACGGAGGAATATCAGCTGGAGTTTCAGCAAGAAAAATGTAATAAATTTTCATGCTGAATCTTCAAAATTTAATGAAAACAAAAACAAAAAGACCACTGTTCATTTCCATGCACTAAAGACATTCCAGTTTTACACTTGGACAACAAATTCTGACATGGGTTGCCAAATATTTTAATTTTCTTCAATTTGTATGCATGCTTGTCTAGTGATTGTACAATATTATTGTATTTCAAATTTCATAAAAACGCCAACATATTTGTATTCTCTTAGCTGAGCTCCTAGGCCACTGTTGAATATTATAAATGAATCCAAAATTCTTCATTTCATCCCTAGATTGTTGGGTCAACACTTCTTTCAGTTTAATAATTCTATTCTCGCCTGTTTTCAACTATAGATGCGAGATGTATAGTTATACTAGTACAGTATCTGTTGACTATTACCCTTGTTACATGAATTTTCAGGAAAATGTAGTTTAAAAAAAAGGAAGTATTGACATAAAGTAGTAATGGGTAAAAATGTGGACGAAAAGTACTGTAACCCACGTGGAAGAAAACCCCATTGTTGGGCTACTGTATACAATTTTCCAAATTAGCATATTTTGTGCTCATAATGAAGAAAGCCTTGGAAATTTTGTAGATAGATGATGAAATTTATTACTGACTCATTTTTACTTGTGTGAATAGAGAACAAATTTTAACCATGAATAAGAAACAGGAAAATTTTAATAAAAATAAAAATGAACAAATTTTAGGCACAATATGACTTGTATAATTTATAATTTTATTCTGGCGAAGCTGTATATTTAAAGTAGGAAGATTGTTTAATCCTCATTGTATTCATTATCATTATATACAGTACTTATTCTTTGTTATTAGCATAACACATTATTGATCATTTGAGTTGTGTTTAAGGATATATCTAGGTTAGAAAGAGGCTGTGCCCTTGCAACTAAAATTATATTATATGTTATCAGGTGAGGCTTTTTGTATACCTTGGTTAGCAAACTTGATTTTAAAATGATTCTACAAAAATCATCTGGGCAGATGACAAAAATCAAAATGAAATGTTATTGACATAAAAGAAAAAGCATGAGTTAACAAGTATTGAGTGTGCCCTTACCCTTCCTCGAGATCCCATTACATTTGTATAAGAATACGATGTGGAGATGTAAGCATTTTCGACTGAGAATTAATTTTCTTATCGAAAGATATAATAGCTGTGGAGTGGGGGATAGAAATATAGAAAGGAACATTTATTATTTTCTGAAACAATTTTCCACAGTGCAGGTGCGCTAACAACAGGCCAAAATATAATTTTTTTGGAATACTCTTTTATCGGCTGATGGTGGGTTTGCAAAACTTGGTACGGTATATACAGATCTAGCCTAAATTAATATATTATTATGTATCTGATTCATAAATACAACTTGGTAGCACACTTTTAACTACAAATAAATGAAAGCATGTGAGCCAGTTTCACTGTAAAACATGATTTTATTGCTGGCCGCTATGGAAATTTGCAATTTAGTCATATATAATAGCTACCTTCCGGCACATTCTGGGTAAGACGGTTTCTGTCAGCCTAGGGGAATAAGCTATGGTGGTGGTTCTGGAGGTGCTTAAAGAAATTGGCAGTTTTGGGCCATTTTAAATTCATGGTCATATATAAAAGTTACAGTGGTGGCTAAGATAGTTTCAGTCAGGGCCCAAGGGGGATAAGCTCTGGTGGGGGTTCCGAAAGTGCTTAGAAAAATTGGCAGTTTTGGGCCATATTTTAAAGGGCTCAACACTTGCATTTTTAAAAACTTTAAAAAGGAATAAGAAACGTTAATAATAAATTGACTTTGTATTCCCTGTTCTGCCAGATTAGTACCAGTTGAGCTACCACATAGGGAGGGGGGACTGTGTAAAAGGTCACAAAATTCTACTTTCCATAAATTGGTTTTATGAAATGGGGTTTATTTTCTATCCCCATTTACTTGATGGAACAACGCTTTATAAAATTAGTGTCTATATGAGGCTTTGGAAATGGAGTTATTTTTAGTTGTGAAAAAAAGTTTTGTTGTATTTGAATCCAAGACCCTTGGATTAGAAGGCAATCATCTTAACCACTAAGCAATAATACTCCACTTCACTGGATGTAAACTCTCTGTTTATGACCAATTACAAGTTTTCTTTGTTTGATTCTGTACTTCGAGAGTGAAGTAAACAAAACTAAAAGTGTTTACATATTTTATGAAACAATTATTGATAATAATTTACATAAGCAAAAGAAATGTTTACATCCTTGTTAAATTGACATGCACACTAGTTACTGTTTATGTTAAATTCATGGCCTCCTCCCTCTCTGTTACCTTTATTTCCTAAAGGGTTACTTTTACTGATGTTGAAACATCAATAAACAACCCCATTTTATTTTGTGGCTATGTTCATTCCACTCCACATGTAAGGAGAAAAGAAAATTCATGAGTTTGCAAGGGATGCAAGTTGGAAGGTGTCAGTTCCAGAACTTTCTAAGCACATTTAATTTTGTTTTGCTTTGCACGGTGATATCCAGGAGACAATTGATAATTAACAGTAGTAAAAGCATGCAAATATGAATTTGCAGGAGATGGATTATTTTCTAGGAGATTTTTCTTGTTTGCAGGAGTAAAGGAGGTATTTCCGAATTTGTTGAGACTCCCTTGTGGGACTCCTGGATTTACAGTTGAAGAAATGGTGGGAAAATACATTGATATTGATTAAACGTGTGTGTTGAAGCCAGTAAACATGTACTGTACATAGTATTAACTGGTACCAATTTATAGCTAATGAAACCTTTGGTATTCAAACTCAGATTCTAGTCTATGCATTGTATTTATTTGGTATTATTATTACTATTAGTAATATAATTTTTTTAAAATTGTTTAATGATGTTATAATGTCTGCTATACCTTAAATATTATTGTAAAACTTGCATGTACAATACTCAAACTTCCAAGATAGTCTGTATTGTTTAATGGCAATTATTAATTGAATATAGAATCCATGTTTCTTATTTATTGATTTAACAGTAGTATTTAATTTCTTATCAGCTCAACCTCCATAAGCACCTTAGCAACAATTTAAAATTTTTGTATAGGCACTATATAAATTGCAATTGATTAAATGTAATAATATTATACAGTATAATGCCTAAGTCAATTTCTTGTAAGAAACTTCCATCCAACTGTAGTTTTTATTTATTTTTTGTTGAAATAGGCTCATTATTTTTCTTTGACTGACTTTTTTCTGAAGAAAAAGAAAAGAATTACAGACTTCTCAAGTTCTACAAAACTTTTCCATAGTTGTTTTGTCTAATCATGGACGTACGGAAATATCTAAAATCCAGAACAATGATTTTTCTATCAGGACCTTTGTTTATGTTTTCCCTGTAATACTCAGACTTGTCAGATTACTGATAAATTTTTGTGCTATTAACAGGCTGGTAAAATTTGGACACCTGTACCTGCATGGTGTGGAGTCATTCAAATGCTGTCAACAAACTTAACTGGCCGGTCAGAATGTGTTATTTAATAGACTGACATTGGCAACAATGTCTAAGCTTAGCGTATTTGTCCTTTTTGCTTCGTACACTGTATCGGCATCTTACACTATGTTCTCTATGAGCTGAATCTATGAACTACCTGTTTTCAAATAAACTAATTGTAATGGGGCTAACCATTTTTAGCATAATTTTTTCCAAGCATGTTAATCCTGCTTTGTAGGTCAATTTTTTTTTTTTTGTTAAACATGAATATAATATAATATATATATATTTTTTTTGTTACACCTTTATGTTTATTATACAATTTATGCAACAAACTGGACAGGGATTCCTGACAATGTGCTCTGTTTTATTAATTCCTTTATGATTATTAAAACTTTATTAATGTCTTTAATTTTAACTTATGTATTTTACAGTAGATCATTATGATTATTTAGGTTCTTTATGTAAAAGAATCTCTTTGCTATGTCTTTCAGATGTTTTTAATAGTGGTGCATGTATCAGAATCAAAGACGACTACTGATGATAAATAAGTATATAAAACTATTGTGTCATCACAATTTCTATCTGTAAATTAATAATTATTTATTAGGTCTTTATTGTCTTTTTCCTCCAATTTGATACACAAATCAACACTACTATGAAAGCGTTGTTTTTGTTTTTAAGGATGTTGATGTCTTGGGTTCCTGAAGTTACCTTTTGCTTCCAATTGTATGATGTAACTAGAGCATAACATGTGCAACAATGAAGGAACATTTGTACAAACTGTACAATTTTATTGTATCTTTATAGAGATTAGGTGCACATGGAGCTATTATTGTTCCATGATGCGGTTAATGATCAGAAAATGACTGAAGTTTGTATTGAGATATGACATTAACCAATTGGCCATCCTCATACATATTTGTTGTATGGAATCGATTTGAGGGAAGATTTAGAGAACTGGCAGATGATAGGCTATTTTCTACCTGAATATTCAAGAAGGGCTCTAGAACTGCGTAGATTTCAAACGCTGCCCTCTGTGTGGGCACAGTCATTACATTGTTACTATTGTAGAAGATGTTAATTTTGTTTATTAACTGTGTCCAATAGTGTGCATTTTGGAAGTGATATGGACAATTGTACTAAGTTTTGGTGTGGAAAATGTTGCCAGATTTTAAACTTTTTAATTGAAGATTTATTTATTTTTGTTTTAAAAAAACATGTGACATGCCTAAATATGGTTATGTGACATCACATTATAACCTTATATAGGCACGTCATGACTATATATGGGCATACAAGAAAATTTGATAATGTGGACACCAGCTTAACTGGTCACAAAGACTGAGATCTTAAAACTGGTTTGTTTAAGCATTATTTTGTATTGTTATACTGGAAATTTTATTATTTGATTATACCAAAAATTGTAACCATTACATCTTAATAGTTTCTTTAATACTTCTTGGTATTATTATTATTATTATTAATATTAATTTTCTTTGCATACAGTACATATTTACAATTATGTTTATTAAGTGTTCATTAAAAATGTATTACCTCCTGATAATGAAATTACTATAAAGTCATCTTTAATGTTTAAATAAGCTTTTAATTGAAAATTAGATTTGGGAAGAAATACCTGCTTCTATGTTTTTTAATGTAAAACCTTAAATTAGCTGGAACCGGTAATCTGAAACAGGTAATCAGTAAAAAGTATGTGAATCAGAAAACACCTTTTTTTTTGGTCTGTGTCTCATCGTAACTTATTTGGATTTGATGAATTTTGAAGGCTGTTCCATACTTTGTAACACATGATATATCTTTAAACCCTAAGTCATCTATGGAGTATTTACAATTGCATGGTGACTGGCATGGGTGTATGTTTACCTCCTCAACCAATTTAGGTATGAATGACCTCGTACTCGTAGGGAAATACTGTAGAAGGTTACGTTTGCACTTCTGACTCTTGCCAGACTTGAACATGTCAGGGTGTCCACACTAGGGGGAAAATGCCTGGAAGTATGCGCTGACAACACCATACCAACCCTTAAATAACAAAACAACATTTTCTGATTGGTCAACATGTTCACATAGAGCTGAACAGAGAAACACCAGACATGAGCAGTTTTGTGTGCACCAGCACAAGCTCAAGCCACTGTTGACGCGCTTAAATTATTATGCGACTCATGCTTTGGTGCATGTCATGTAAATAAGGAAGAAATACAGTAAAGTTGTAGATCTTCCTCAAAAACTGTTTGATTCGCTGAATGGGTCACCGGCATGTTTTAGTTTGCAATAAAAAGGGAGGATTACATTGTCAATAATAATAATTGTGGAGGCACCCATGGTGCCACAGGTGTGTACGTAGTTGGAATCAAAATGTTGAAGTTAGTAGCTGATGGATTTTTGGGTAGATTGTTGGCCTGTAAATTCAGCAAGGTTATTAGATACCGTATTGTTTAAAACTGTGGATAAAAGTGAAAGCTGGCATAACCATGTTAGAATAAATTGCAAGTCTGTAAGAACCTTCTGAAAATGTAATTTTTTTTTTCGTATTTTGTCTGGTTAAGGGGAAAATCATTTGGGTGGGGAACAAGGCCATTTGGGTGGGGAGGATGGAAAGGATAAGGCCATCTGGATGGGATCATATTTCTCATTCACGCAAGGTAAATAAGTAATGTGTGATGATTTCTTTGATGTGTTTTTTGAAATTTCCAATCATTAAAAGCACATTATAAAATTGATGATTTCTGTGTACTTTCTTAATTTGTTGTGTACACTTACAAAGAAGTAATTCAAATAGTGTTTACATCATTCACATGACAGAAATGAATTTTCCTAGCAAGAACATTTCAGACTTGAGAATGCATATCCTTGTACTTACAAGGGAATAAACAGATCTCACAGAGGCCTCGTAAGCAGGGTACTCGCTGCGTAGTACGATCATCGCACAACGAATCCAACTCCACTCTGGAGTGATAGACAGCGCGTTGCCATCTGCTGATTGTCGGTGGCAGTCTGAACTAATCGTCGGTAAAGATGATCCGTTGCGCACATGCCGTGCGCAGTGAATGCCCAAGATACTTAACCAGGATATGTGCGCATGTTAATGGTTGCAGCTTATGTTTTATTTTGGCTTTTCGTGCTTTACCACTCTGCCTATCAATTGACAACCTGACAGATTTTGTACTTTGTTGTTTGGAAGCGATGAATCATGGTAGTTTTTTTAATATAGACAGTACATTTTTAGTTGTGTGAAACAGCTACAAGGCTCATTAAGAACAGATTCAGGTAGAATTTCTAAAAATAACACACAGTTGAGGTAAACAATTTTTTTCGAAACATTTATTTCTGGACTATTTTTGAAAAATACTCAAAATACAGAATGCATAAACAATGTTCACCAAGAGAGACAAATAATATAATAATATAATTATTTTAAAATAATTATACTATAATTATATAATTATAGTTAATGACTATTCATATATGAGCCTCCAGCTAATGAATATTCATTACTGAACCTAGGGTAAGATATTAAGTGCTGTGGGAAAGCACCACTGTCATCAGATTATTAATATACAATACAAAAACCTAACATTTGCTTTGAATCGTAAATGAAAGTGTAGTATCCCTGGAGACAAAATAATACGACATCCTACTTTTTGTTTCAGGCTTCAGTTTTTTGTTTTGTTTCTGGGTGAATAATGTCCATTAACTTACCTAATACAAAGGAATTAAGAGTTAAAAATTCCTTGTTTTTTTAGTTTAAAAACACTACAATTAGTAAAGCACATCTATAATTAATGGAGAATAAAGCAATTGATGTATGCAAGATTTTATTTAACGGGCAGATAACTGAAAAGTTTGGAAAAAAAGGTGTACAATAAATGTTCCCATAGATAAGCCCTAATCCCCCTCCCCTCAAAGTTTATACTAATACTGCACCTTAAACCACACTAGATTGTCTAAAGCATTTTAAAAATCATAAAAGGTGAGTATCTCTTACTGCATGTTGTTGCGGTTTATACCATGACATTGAAAAAATAATTTTATCGATAAAAAATGTCAATGTTAAGATCTAAAGAAAACCTATGTATTTTACAGGGTTTTTTGCAAGCCACTATGCTAGTTGTCTGGGATACAGGTATTGAGTTACAATCTTCACAACTGTGGATAATAATATAATATCAAAACAAAGGCTATTACATTATACGAATAAGGTTAGATATGTACAGTAGAAATAATTACTAGACAATAACATGTATTCCATCCTGGATAATAAATCTTCAGATATAAATACAATTTCAACAGGCAAAAATCACATACATTTCCACATTAATTCCATTGTGGGGCTTAACGTACATGAGCACCTCAATGTTGTGCCAGAAAAAAATAATCTGCACTTGTACAACAGTAGAGGGCGCTGCTTGTTCTGAATCCCTAACCAATTTATTTTGTACATTTCATGAATTTGTTTCAAAATGGAATTTTGTTTGCTACAAAGCTTAAATTTAGGACCTCACTACAATTTTTGCCCAACTACATAAAACGGAATTTTATTGGAATTACTGCTTACATTATTGAAATTGCATAATTTTATGGGCATTCCAATAATATAAATAGTGAAATTGGTATGAAATTCCAACGTTTGGCTTGCCTGGCTGGCTCGCAGTTAAAAATGGAAAGTTGCACAATCACCAAATATGCCATCATTAGGTGTTTCTATTATTTAATAAATGCAAGTCAACATTGCGATTCTTTTCTTCTTGTTGGCAATTCATGTGACGTGTGAGGAACATGTTCAGCGTGCTTTAGCGTGTGATTAGCGACGATGATGAGTTCAGTGTTCCATCTTGGGGTCTGCTGGTGGAGGTGGTTGCTGTGGGGCTGAGCTTGGTTTACTGGCCTCTGCACTCTCAGTGGTTTTGCTCTGCTCCTTTGTTTGGCTTGAATCACCTGATGAAAAATAATGAATGGATTTATTGAAGAAATATGAAGTTAAACCATCAAAAGGTTTCTTTTAAGACATCATCTACATACTGATGTCACAAATTGGATAAGGAACACGTTTTTCAGTACTGAAATTTACAATTTTGACAGTCAAAACAAGTAATTTAAAAGCTTTTAATGATTGGATGCCTACCTGTATCCATCTTTACATCCCCAGCATCAGGCTTATCCTCTGCCTTTGACTTGCTAGCCTCAGAGCTATAGAATGAAGAGGTATTACTTGATAAATGAAAAGATATGAAATATATAAATAAAAAAAATCCCTCCTGGGCAGCTCAGCAACAGGCATTTTTCTTTAAATGGTCCAATTAGCAGGAATATTTATAAGATAATTTCTCAATTTCAATTTATTCAACAAATACCCCAAGCCTGGGGAAGGTAAAAATATATAAAATACAATAAAACTTCACCATACAAAAATAATCAAAATGGAACTAACATTCATTATACAAAAACTAAAAGTATGGAAATTTAAAATCCTCTTGTTAAATTAATGATTGTATGAATGTCGATAGAAATATTCTGTCAATGAGAGTACTTTTATACGACATATTCCTTTGCTTCGCAATTAAGAAGATGGCAATAAAATACCTTAGAGCTGGAATCATTAACAAGACATCAATTTGATTAGACAAAATAATATCTTTGATTTTAATACCAATTAGGATGTATATACAATCTAATAAAACAATTATGAGAAGTAATGTGCCAACTAGATTGTCTAGTCAATGGCTGTAATAAACTGGTCTATTTTCAGTGGCTAAATTTATTATAGGAAAGTGGTACAGCACAAGATTGGGGCTTGGAAATGCTGCTGTAAAAAGCGACAAAATGGAGCGGTAGTAGAATCCCACTTATTAATCTCTCAGCACACAAATAAATCTCAGTTTATAGTGCAATTTTAAATTTAAAAATATCAAGAAAACCTAATGAAATTATTTGAAGATTTAAAAATACTATTTTAACAATATAGGGAAAGTGATGTTATCTTAAAAGTTTATTAGTGTGGACAAATTGAGGCCCTATGACCAAGTCTTTCCTTAAACCTTAAAACCTTGCAGGAGTAAAATCTAGAGTTTCTTGTCAGGACTAAACAGTGGAACTTAACATCAGTTTGTGAGAATATTAACTTCGAAGCCACAGGTACGATCTACCAAAGACAATTGTAATAGCAAGTCCTCTCAAATTGGATGATTAATAAATGACCAAAAATAAAAACCAAAACAAAATCTTACTCTTTTTTAGCTTGTTCTGACACCTTAGCAGCATCCTTGACTACTGCTGGTGAGGCCCTGCCTTCCTTTGAAGCTCCTTCCTCTTTCTTTCCATCTAGTAACAGACAGAGGTTGTGATTGGTTAATCAAATGATCTTAGGGTGCAACATTAAATCTTGAATCATTATTGTTTAAGAAAGCATTGAACTCTAGGTATGTGGTGAAGGCCAGCCAAACCAGTCACTCTTTGCAAATTATGTTTTGGAGATAATGGCCAAAACAAGTTGGAATGTCAACATTTTTGAAATCTATTTTATTGCACTAAAATATGATTTTTTATATTTTTTACACCATGCTATGTTGTTATTTTCCCCATTTTTGACGTCAAAGCAACATTTCGTAACGATTAGGTGATGGTCCCTCTGAGAAACGTCCGAAATCGTAAACTTTGAAGGCCGATTTCTCAAATACTGTTCTTTAATTAGCTGTATGTTAAACTCTTGCAACTTCATAACAAAATGTTGGATTTAAATGATTCTTTTACTATTTTATAACTTTCATTTAACTGTTTAACCCTGTATAAAAACCTAACAATCTATCTATTCTATTCCTAGGAGGGACTGATTTTGTCTTTGCCATGTATAGTTACTTTGGGTTGTTCCAAAGACAGGGACTCATTAAAACAGAATCCAGTAGAAACATGCCCTTTAACCTCACCTGTTTTATCCTCCGTCTTCGGTTTTCGTTTATGGGACCTGTGATCCTTCCTTCCACCTTCCCCTTCATCTTCGCTGTCCGAAAACTCCTCGTCACATGCAATACGTTTATCACGAGACATGATGGAGATGCGTTTATCTGGATCCTCATCGTCGTTGTCGCTATCCTCTGGCATACCGTCTTCTGGGATGGGTTGCATCTGAACTCCTGGTGCGTGTGGGATCATGCGCAGATTCTCGAATAATCTGGTCCTGCAGACAGAAAAAAATAACAGAAATCATTTTAACAATATATTTATTATATTATTTAAAGATGGTTTATATTTTCAAGTGGGCAATTGAATGTTTTAAATTAATTTTTGAGTGCATTTCCAAATTTTACCACAGGTAGAGAATCTGTAAAAAGTTTAACAATTTAATATAATTTTAGAAATGTTTTAGTTTGCGCTAGGCCTACAAGTTCTTCGTCTACTGTACCTGAGCTATTCAATATCATTTTTTCATGAATATAAGGATGGTAATAACTCATCTAGGAATCATAATCGTATGCATTACAATAGCCTGTTGATAAACTGTGCACAAATCCATTTGAGAGCGGGTATACATCATGGGTACACACAAAATTTGTAATTTCAGGAAATTAGGAATATTTCGCAGCCTTATGAAAACGATAACGAATGCTTCATTGGCGTCATTGTCATTATCGTCATTCGTGCCTGAAACATTCTTGACAATATACTGTACGAGCTGAATATGAGCCTTGATTCATGCAAAGAGCATAAATTGCCTACGTTGTGACAGATATGCACTGTATTGGAAGGTTGTCTAAAAAAATGATGACGTAACTGTATTTTGTAAGCTTGCAAAAACTCCCTATTGTGTAACTGAGTATACTACAGCAGTTCTCATATTGTGTTTGTAAACTTCACACCTAATGCTAGGTTTACACTATGTTCCCGGTGGCCACGGCAGCCCCGTTTGCCCGAAACGTAGTGCGCCGTGGGATTTTGGCAATTTCTTCCACGTTTCAAGTTTCTGTCTTGGCTTTTTTGGTGGCATAGCTTGGATTCTTTTTGTTTTATTTGTGGCATTCTTCCACTTAATGCTTCCCGTCCCACTACAGACTGCCTCCAATTTTCGTTATGGCTTATTACGTACTGTCACGTTTTGTTGCGATCACCCCGTTTTACTGCGGCTTACTAGGTTTGTCATTCGCACTGTGACTGCCATGGCAAATTTGTTGACAGTTTAAAAATTTGCGCCAGCATCCACGGCCCGTCACGTTTGCACATCCCGTCCCCCTGCATTGTCTCACGTCAATCCCGTTTTGTTCACGGTGGCCTGAAATGTGGCTGCCGTGGCCACCGGGAAAAATAGTGTAAACCTGGCATTAGCCTTCTTGAGCACCAAAACAAAGTGCATCATTTAACTTGAAAAATTTGATCTTATTTTACATGCCAAAATTTTATGTTTTTCATTAACGATCTGTAAGTCAAATTTTATCCAAGTCTAACAATTTTTAATGCCATTTTAGATTCAACTTAGGCAAGTTCAACTGTATAGGTAGTTGATACTAAGTAGATAATTGTACTTACTTGATTTTGTCCAGGTAGTCAGTCGTATTCTGATTGGTCATATTCGATGGACTGATGTGAAGTTTAAAGTCTGGTCCAAAGTACTCAAAATAATCGTTGTATGGAAGTTCATTTGCTACGTCTACATTCAGGGCGACAGCAGTCTCGTAAGTCCAACATCGAGCAACATTGCGAATTGTGTAGCCACCTCCACCGAGAATTAACAATGGTAGATTGTATTTCTTCATGTACTCAACACTACGTGCGTGACCTGCCAAACATAAAAATATATGTCAACTTCTATCATCTTTATAACAACAATAAAGCATTTAAAAACGTTAAGTAATATTTAGTATTTAATATAAAACATAAAAACATTATTAAAATAATTACATATTTAAATTGCTTAGATTTTAATTGAACAATAGCACAACAAATTTAACAAAAATATATATTCTTAGCATAGGCTTTTCACTTGGCTGGTGATCAATATAAGAATTTTTCTATAATTTAAAATGAAAGCCATTCTGAATGTTTTTTATCATTTAAAATTTATACCTTATTTGACCTTTTCCCAATTTTACTGCAGACAATATTGTTTGTATTTCATACATTATAATTTAGTGTACACTTATTAATTTTCTACAAACTACATACAAACTAATCGGGCTGTATCAAGGAACTATATATTTTATACAATTGTGTAAATATTACAAGTAGTAAATTTGAGGTTGCGATTGTTCACATAATAATAATAATATGTTATATTTATATAGCGCTTAATGCCAACAATAGTGGTAACTATAATATGCACATGTTGTGTGATAGAAAGATACACAACCAGAATGGTAATAATTGTCAATGGTTTTTAACCCCAACAATTAATGTCATGTTTAATCATTGTTATTTCTTACAAATGTTGGCAAAAACCAAAAGGCACACTCCATATATAAATCTATTAATTTACAGTGACGACGACAACGACGACAACAACAATAAATAATAATAATAATAAATCAATAATTCAATATACAGTACAACTTTATTTTTAATTCCATCAACAAATATTATTACAATATATGATTACGAATAATTCAAAATATGACAACTATAGTAAATAAAATGATCAAATCAAAAGGAATTGGAAAAAGGCATACACAATTTAAAAACTTTTATCATGTAGCCCTAATAATTATCCCTCTTCAGAACCTGTAGCTGGGTTAAAAAATGTAAGTATTGGAATGACAGGAAGTACAGTATTCTATTTCCATCGTAATCTTTTCTAAATACTTCGCACTACTGAACATGGACATGAAATGTACTCGGGGGACACTAGAAAGGTCCCCAGCAATGGCGTTGCCAAGAGAGAGCGCCCTTTTCCAATTGAATTTTGTTATACACATTGCAAATTTTTATAAGTGCTTGGAGCTTGTACCCATTTTTGCTCAGTCCCTCACTTCAACACATTTACAACAGAGTACAAAACACACCCAGAATAGAAGTTTAGTATTATAATCTTACCTTTGAGTGTAATGTTGAAGCAACCAAGTCTGTCACCTGAGAGTGAGTCAGCTCCACACTGTAACACAATAGCACTTGGCTGATACATCTCCATCACTTTTGCTACAACCTACAACAAAGAAAAAAAGTAGAATTGATCAGAACGATTAAAACATGTCTATTTTCATTAGTTTAATCAATTGTTAAAAAACAATAAAAAAAGACATAGGTAGAAGCTAAATCTGCAATTATGAATGTGATCAGCCAATAGCATAATAATCATCTCGTTGTCATCTTTTGTTGTCATTATCATCATCATCATCTCTTTTGTTAAGTGTGTGACATTTTCAGTATTTTTTTTTACATGTTTTTGTATAACTTGCCAAGGAATGACGATTTCAGTTTTTAGATAATAAACATAGCATAAAGTGATTTCTGTTGTTGAACATCCCATATTGTAACATTCATTTTACATGTCAATTATCTTTATCACAGACAGGTTGTGTATTGACTATTTTATTCTTAAAGTCCGTTTCATTTAAGGTCTCTTTATTTGATTTTTTACGTAAATAATAATTATGTAAAGCCCTTTGACATGCGTATGGTCATGAGGACATCATATCATGAATAAATGGGCATATAACAGTTTTTGTCAAAAGAAAATTTGACAATTTGGACATATAAAATAATTATTAACAAATGATTTTTCAAACTCACCGGTTCAAAGATCTGTTCGTAGGATTCATCATCAATACCATCTCTGAGTGGAAAGTTTACGGCGTAATACTTGCCACGCCCAGCTCCAATATCCTACAGATGAAAATAGAGAATAAAAAATGTAGTTCAGCTATTCTGTCAAGATTTTTATATTTTCTGCTACTGAAAGTTCTCCTAATCCAAGCCTTTTTCACCACTTTCTGTTGAATTCCTACCTTTCGTTGTTTAGTGGGTAAGACCATACAGCTTGCTCATCTTTCCAATACCCCATCCTCCCTAGGCTTCTACAACTTTTGAGACCTTATTCAATAATCATACTTTAAAGGCAAAATGGGACCAGTTTTTGAGAAACAACATGCAAAAATGTATTAAGAAAATGAAAGAAAACAGAAGCCATGATCAAGGAAATTTAAAAAGAGAGAGCTGCCTCTCTTTTTACTGTACTAGGCATATTTAAATGAGAAAGTAATTCGGGCCTATATGGCTGCGTCAAACAATAAACTAGGACGGTTAAGGGCTGGGTGGCCAATAATTTTACTAAATCCAGTCATTGATTTACATACATTGGATGACAAAAATTTCAAATAAATAAGACTCGTACCCTGAGGTCTCCAGTACCAGGGAAGTACTCCCCGTACTTATGAAATGACACGGTCATAACACGGTCGGTTGTGTAGAAAGCTTCTTCAACGCCATCGCCATGATGGATGTCAATGTCGATGTATAGTACACGCTGGTGATATCTGTGGCAAACATAGAAGCAATAAAGATGTTTCAAATTGTCATATCATATCAAGGAACATAGGCCTAACAGCAATATTTAAGTTTATATTTAAACAGTCATTTTATCTTTATATTTTTATCATTTAATAATGAATGTGGCTTGAGGAAGTAAAAAAAACCCCCAAAAACCTTGAATCTTACTTGAGAAGTTCTAAAATGGCCAGAACAATGTCGTTGACGTAGCAGAACCCTGAAGCCTCCGACTTCTTGGCGTGATGAAGGCCACCGGCCCAGTTAATAGCGATGTCTGTCTGCTGTTTGTTAAGCTTGACAGAACCGGCGACAGATCCTCCAGCGGAGAGCTGGCAGAATTCATAAAGGCCGTCAAATACAGGACAATCTTCACCAACATTGACTGGAGAAAAAGATGATAGCATAATACAACAACAGTAGAAAATTATTGGCGATGCTCATGTTGTAAACATACAGTTCAAGCAATGAGAATTTAATTTAATATTCAATGATTATTATAAATGTCAGCATACAGTAACTACAGTCTTTATAACTTTAATATAAAAAAATGTTTGGGTTGATCAATTATTTTTTAAAAATAGTGGGGAAACAGATGGGAAACCTATTTTAGCAGTCAAAACTTCAAGAAAACCAACATACATACAAACATCATGCAATAAACTATACTGTAAATACCACTGTTTCGTATTTAATAACAAACCACTTATTATTTTCATGCAAAATACATCACCTAGGTATACTTAGTTTCACTCGCAAAACTCAACTCTAAGGAGAGAACTAGGGGGGGCTTATAGCTAATAAACAACTAATTGGTAATTACTCTAATTAGTAATTGCACAACAAATCCATATACGTACATCTCTGCATCTGTTTAGCATACTCTGACATATTATCTGGCCTGATTGTCCGCAAAAATTTGATATAATCATCACTATGGTACTTTGTCATCTCTTCTTGTACAGCCTTGTGGGGGCGCTGTTGAAATTTAAAAAAATGTATTTTAATACGTCCGCTGCTAGGAACGCAAGTTCACGTCTGATAGGGTTCCCTTAGGGTGCCAAGGATGCAAGTTCACATGCACAACATACTATTGGATTGCACATAAACTTGCTGGCAGTGGTCGGCAGAACACAAACTTTCGCCCCTGGAAGGACCCAAAAGTAATGGTCTAAAAAAAATAACGTATGTTTGTTCATACAGTATTACACTATAGTTGATTTAAATCATTTTCATTATGGTAGCGCTCTTTATGGCTTGGTGTATGGGATGGAAAAAAAAAGACTTGGCAGTCTGTCAACGTGTTAATCACCTACAATTATACAAATTGAGAGCATGAAAATAATAATGTTTACTTCCATTGTACTGTAGGTACACATTATATAATCATTACTTACATATATTTCCATTTTTCTGTACAATCCATAATTAAGCAGAAGGTTGTGAGTCATTCGTATACGATGAGGTTTCATGGGATGACCTTGGCCATAGTAGTAGTTGCCAATGTCACCTGAATAAAGGATAAAGTATGATCTTAAATGTAATGAAAATGAGAGTGGAAAAAGGGAAACAATAAGCATTTGACCCCTTATTGGAAATTGTGCACTGTTGAACTAGCATAGCAATGTAACAACTGCAGACAGGTGTTGCTTATATTAATATTTTAATGTTTTTAAATGCCAACTTTTAGAGGTTCCAATGGGAGAAGACCCATTTGTCTAGTATATTATGGATACTTTATTTAGTACTGCAGTTAACTGAAAAGTGCAAAAAAAAGTCATAATCAAAACTGTCGACAATGATCCTAGCTTACTGTACAGTTTTCAATGAGTAAATACTAATCTTAAACATTAAAAAAAATAATTTGATTACATGTTGTTTAGAATGTTTAGCAGGAAGCTTGGGATAAAGCCACTGAAGAGATTTTTTTTTACAAAAAATTACTCCTTATCCGCGAAACGCTATATAAGAAGTGGGGAAAAGCCAAAGAAAGGAAAGAAAAATAAAGTAAACAGTATAATAATTAGATTGATAAAATAGTAAGTTTATCAATCAAATTTATCAATATTGATTTCTTATTTTTGTGATTTCAAGGCAGCGGGCATAACAAAAAAAAAAAATTGAGGTTCCAAAATCGTATGAGGGCAGGGACGTGAAACTACTGTAGCATACATAATTTTATTTGGCCTAACACAAGGGTGTGAAACAATACAAATTAAATAAAAGTTATTTTAAAGTCTAATCTGTAATTAATTGTTTAACAATCATTTATGGCGATTGTTAAAGTTTTACTTTAAGGATAAAAAAATTTAGAATTATAAGCAAATATTTCATTTAAATGACTGAATTAAACTGAAATTCAGTCATATCATTATAGGTATGACAAGGGGTTTACAAATGTGGTTCATTATTTTGATTTAAAATCTTTGGGAGAATTGTTTTGGGTGAATCAAGTAAAAAAAAAGTAGGCCTAAATTATATTTCCATTCACAACGTTGTTGGCGCTTTATCATACTATGCAACCAATTATTTTGAGCAACGACCATTTTTTATATAACTGATTTTAGGCACAACCAATTTGATAGGTGACCAAAACAAAATGCATGATATTGTTCCTGTTTGTTTTGCTTGACAGCTAAGCCCTAATCTTTCTAAAGGAAATTTAAAAAAATACAGTCCTAAAGACTGAAGTAAGCATGCCTAGGCTCAATCTGCCAAATACAAGTGGTGGTAATTCAGAGCCTCTGGCAATGACTATCCCTAGGTTAGAGCCCTTCTCAAACAAACTATGAGTTGTGACCCAAATATATTATAGTGTATTAGTAGTTACTAAACAGGCCTTGTATATTGCTTATTTCCAGCTAAACAAGCCAACAAGCATGCTGCTGATGAGAGGAAGTTCTAGCTTAAGCCTAGGGCTAGGCCCTAGTTTGACTTTTTATCTTTCTGTTAGGTAGATAGGGGCCTGGGCCTATGAACATTAAATGCATATTTATGTACAATTAATGAGACCTCTCTTGAGTAACATTAATATAGCGTAAATACTGCCAACTCATATTATTATAGATAAGCCTAAATAGAGTAAAGTAGCAGATAGAAAAGCAGCGGTACATTCTGCACCACGCCGGTACGGTAGGCCTCAAGAACAGCACACATTTCCTTGCACGACGCGTCAGTCCAAACATGAATTTTCCAGCCTACGATTGCCTTAAAATTCTAGCAAATCTTGAATGAATTTTATGACAAACCAACTCCCAGAATCTTCAATAATTAAATGTTCTGCTTAATAAAAAATATTTACTTGAATTACTTACCATCATAATAGTAACAAACACGTTTCTTTCCAGCGGTAGACGACATCTTAAATTGCAATTTTGAAGAACCGCTACCAGACAATGAAAATGGAACAGTCCATTTGGCCCTCGAATATGCAAAATATAAATGGTAGCTTCACGCATTAGGGTTAATATACTACTATAGAGGGCAGTATTAGTGCAAACACACGAAAGTTCACTATATTATTAAGTATACACTTATACTTAAAGTATATACTTTATACAGAGTTGGAATACAGAATACGTGTAGGCCTATACTTGGTATAACTGTATACTTGTTTGAACAGAAGTTAAAAATCATGTGGACTTGAATTGTCTGTAATAACACTGACACATCAACGACCTATTGGGCAAATAGGCCCCTTGCAGTTAAGTATACTTGCATTTTTCTTGGTTAATGGAGGCTTTTGTTTCATATTATTGAAACTTTTAATATAGGCGTTTATAAATTGGTTTAAAATGGGCATAAAAATAAAACATGTAAAACAAAGCAAGTTTTGAGGGTAAACTTATAATGAGGCGTGTTTTGTGACAATATAGGCCTATTGTTTCAAGTCTCAGGCATATTGCCGTCGTATATTCATTTTTCATCACCATAATTTTCTAGCGCTTAGAGATATTGTATCTTTCCTCTATATAAGTCGATCTATTATTTTCATTAACTTCACCATTTTTATTATTATATTGTCATTATCATCCTTATCATCGATTGTGGTCGTTATCATCATCATGGTGCTGGTGATTGCCGGCGTCATCATACTAATCATCGTCATTGTTGTCGTCATTGTTCACCATTATTATCATTATTATAACATCGTCATTATCATCTTTATCATCGTCGTCGGCGTTGTCATCATCATCATCATGGTGGTTATCGTCGCCATCATCATCATCGTCATCATCATCGACGTCGTCATATCACCATCCTCCTCACCTAACAGCATCATCATTATAGGCCCTACCCAATTGTTTTATCAACATACATCGATTCTGTTGGCAGTGTGATTTCTATATATTGAGTGCAATTTTATTATCCATTAAATGTCGTCATTATTGATTATTTATTTAGTTTTTATTCCCGTACTATTGTTTACTGTTGTCGTTGTCTTCATCTTCATCGTCGTCGTCGTCCTCATCTTCATTATCGTCGTCGTCGTCATATTATCATCGACGCCGTAATACCATCCTCACTCCTCGTAATAATTATGTCTAACACCTTCAACTGGTTAGCTTATTAAACTCGATTTTGATGGTAATTTTATTATTGACTGTCGTAATTATTAAAAATTATTATACGTTTATTCATGTTTATTCCAGTACTATTGTTTCAGTTTAAATATTTAATCAATTCTCCGAGGCAATGGAATTCATTACTACGATAAAATCATTATTGTCTTGCCTGTGAAGATTTTATCTTTCATAACGTTTTCTAAACATTTTAAGAATTTTTGCTTTAACTTTTGTACCTTTTTACATTTGTTACATTATTTATTATATTCATATTTTTATACCTGTTTGCCTGTTCTTTTTTTTTTTTTTTGTAATTTTGAATAATCTATTTCTGTCTTTTATGTGTGTCTTATTGTGTTGGTTTTGTAAGGACCTCATTGAAAATGAGCATGACTATCGTCGGCTTAATGGGTAATCCTGGTGCTCTTTTGTCTTTGTTTCTCATGTATTGTTACCTCGAGTACCGGTACCTAATAGATCAAATCAAATACATAAGTATTCGCGACGAATTATCCAATGGTTTCAATAATCATAACGTTAGTCGTTTTATGCTCACATGTTACGTACAAATTATGTAATAAAGGTAAAGCAATGCAATGTTTTATTAAACAGTTTACCGTACCTCCTGTTATTGCTGATTTATTCCCTATTGTAAATATCATTTCCAATCATGATGTTAATATAGTAGGCCTACATTCTCAATTGTTGAATCTCGAAAAACCTCTCGCGTTCATATTTGTGTTGTTAATGATCGTTTTGTATATTTGTATGTGTCTTGGGGTTTGCATTTGTAGGCTATATGCATTTGTTCTTGATAATGTAAATGAAATTAAAATAACATTGTCATCATTATCATCATCATTATTATTAACCTTGATTACACCATCGACGTCATTTTATACACTCCCTAGAATTTCATCTTTATTATCATGGTCATCATTGTTGATACACAATCGACATCATTTTCTAATAAGACACCAGAAACTGCTAAAATGTTTATAATCCATTAACTTTATTATCATCATTTTCATCACCACCACCACCACCACCACCGTATTCGTCGTCGTAATCAATGAATGAAAAAAAAAAAAAAAAAAAAAAAAAAAAAAAACACACACACTAAACACACCATTAAATTGCAATCCTAAAACAATATATTTGGAAATACACAAAACTTTCCAAACTACATACAGTACATATAACAACGTAACGTACCGGTAACGAAAGACTATGATGTAAATTATCCTTTTAAATAAACCTAAATTAATATATTTAATTTCAGTCTCAGACAGCGCCGTCACCGACGGTTGGTCGACCCGTCCCACAACACAGCAACATGGGTGAGCAAGTGACGGTTGTGCGACGAATTCTCAGTCAAGCTCTCACCATCAGAGTGCGCGACGGATTCGTCGCCAAAGATCAGTGCATGGTAAACTAAGATACCTATCAAAACAGTTTTATTTCTATGACACGAAATTCTAATGATAACTTATTTCAACTTTCTTATTAACCCATGTTACATTAATTTTACAACATTAATGTAACATTAACACGTCATCATCATCCAAGTATTTCAGAGATCTTTCAAAGATAAACATAGAGCGCTAATTAAATGTTTGTACTAAATCCAAGCTAAAGTACGCGCATAGGTCATCTCTCGTCGCCTAGGTGAACTTCAACGAGAATTGCTATTCTTAACCACTCAGTTAACAACCAAAAATAGACGTCGATCAAATCATCATCCAACTGAGCCGACGTTTCAAACTCAGTTTGTGACATTTAGTAAAACGTCATATTGTACTCAAAATCTAGATTATAACGCTTGTATTACCTGACCCACTTCTCAATCAAATAGATTTAATACAATAATTGCTACCTCGTAAAAAATGTAAGAGCACGCTTGTAAACTGAAACTACAATTCAATCGGCGATATTTCCAATCCTACTTTGAAAAGATGAAGCAAGTTATTCATTTTAAATTATGAAAAATACCTAGATTGGTGCCGAAACGAATGACAATAAATCTTTTATTTTTTTTAATGCTCAAATTAAAACAATGTTTTTGAATTTATTACAATCGAAATTTTATAAATAATGATGCTAAAATTAGCAATTCATTTGTTTAGTTGATGTTTTCACGACTTTTATTCTTCCTAGGGTGAATCGTAGATAGAACACATATTCTCAATGGGTGAATACACAACAACAGCATTAGTCTGTAGATCTAATGACCGAACTGTTATTGGCCTATAGCTCCTTCGAACGGTCCATCGCTCGACGGTAGCCAGTAGATATTCATCTAGTAAGAGGAGGACCCAGACTGACTAAGAAACGACGCAAGCCCTGTGATGATAAATTAATATTTGTTTTTACGATGATATCTCAAGAGGATGTCGTGTAAAATCACTGCACAATCACAATCATTTAGTTTGCAAGTCCACATGAGGAGAAAAGCTTATTGTCTAGGCCTACTTTGAAACAAGTCTTCAAGAATGGTGGCTGCTACTTCACCAAAAGCAATGTAATGGCAAGGTGTGACGAAATAAACGTGAAATAGAGACAATGACAAAAGTGCCACGTCTAACCCGCTGACATTTTATTTCACAATCTGAGGTGTAGGTCTAAACTATTTTGCCATTCGCCATAGTATACCATACTAACTCGAAAACATGTTCTGCATGTGTTCTCTTGCATTATTCGATCTATCAAGTGAGCGAGGCAGACTGTTAATTTAGTCAATATCCACAAGTGAGTAGGCCTAGTAATACTGCAGTGGCATCCATATTAAGCGGTCCAAATGGCAATTCTAATTTCAGCCACAGCTAAAATATAATGGTAGCTCTCTTCTGTCATACTGTAGTCTGCTGTGAAGCTTGGTGTTTGGCAAGAAATTCAGCAATTACGTCATATCCGGCCTCTCGCGCCAGTTCTTCAGGCTTTACTCCTTCCTATTGGAAGAAATCAACATTCAGCGATTAAGTGAATATCTAAATAAATCAATCGAGCAATAATGATTGTTAGTTTAAAATTTTGAACAATTCTCATCCGACTCTTTAAAGGTTTGAAGCAATGACATATGTTAACGTCATGCTTTAGTTGACCTGTCATCATTCTTTTACGTCTGTTGAAAAAACAAATACCGTGAGCACTCCATCTGTGATTGGCTGCTACGAACTTGTCGTTAGAACTAAATCATGACGTAATGTTGGAACATTTCATCTGTCGAACGATAAAAAACTTTTCCAAGCAATCGGATTGATACAATTTCTGTTAAATTAAAATAATGCCATCCATAAAAGGTTTTGAGATGAATTAAGTTCATTATATTTATACAGTACAGGAATATTGTGTTATCAGATCACGACTTAAGTTACATTATTTTGGAAATGCTGGCCTAAACAATAATGTTAATATTTAGTATCAAAATGCTTACTTTGTTCTTTAGACCAATATCAGCCCCTTGTAACACAAGTTCCTTTACAACTTTGAAATGACCAAATAAAGCCGCCGCATGCAGAGCACTCTCACCGTTCTGAAACGCATAAAAAAAATTACCGTATTTTACAAGATTCTGATTCTAAGCCGATTAACACCATAGCATGCCAGGACTTCATATTGTTCTTTCAGAAATTAAAGGCTGGAAATCATTTTATCATTTTTTGTGGTAAAATTATGGAAAAAACATGTTTTAAATAGGCAGGCCTACACTAATTCCTGTGTTCAAGATATTGCTTCAAAATGACCAAGATAACTTAAAATGGTTTTTATGATTTGTAATTGCTGTTTTTAAGGGACGATAGGCCTACATCATCGAAGGGTGATTAGATTTTTTTTTATAATGTGATGTATAGGCCCTAATGTGTTTTTCTGAGTTAAATTCAGATATCAAACATAAACACCTTACTTCTAGTAGGCCGAGTGTAGCTCCGTGTCGAATCAGTTCAGTTACACAATCTATGTGACCTTTATGTGAGGCTTTAAATAACGGTGTAGCACCATCCTAAAACAAAGAAATTTTTGCTACCATTAAAATGAGAGAAAATAAAAAACCTAAAAATACGTAACGTCACATTACATTATATTATTACATTACAACAACGTCAATGT